ACCAGAAGACTACAGCTGTCGAATGGCTCTACTGGAACATTCTTGTTGACGCTATTTCCGAAATGATCTCCTTCGATTCCGGTGAAAACGTGCTAAGCTGTCGTCCGTAGTGTGAAGAGCATCATTGTTACAACCAAATTCAAGCTAACACGTCAAGTATACTCATCTATATCTGACCTATTCGATGAGATATAAAATGGTTTGGGTTATTCTAGTCATATGTCAACCTCAAAGCATGTGAATTTTGTCTGTCTCTGTATGCGTTCGCAAATGTACAACCAGCAATGGTGTCTCAAAGTAATTAGGACAGCAAAAGTAAAGTCTCTTCTTGTCTATCAAGTTTTGATGGGCACCATCAACCCTTTCTATATGTGTTTGAAACATCTATCCGTTAGCGTAAAGTCGGATACAGGTCTGGATTTTGGATTTTTTGTCTTCATGTGAGAGAGAAAGAGTGGGCTAAAAGTTCAGAGAAGTGTTCTTGATTAGAATATGCGAAGAAAAATTGGGCTTTGAGTAATCTATTGTTTCATGATTGTTGAGCGAACGTGTTTGGTGAAGATATTCAAAGGTTCTTGACCAGCTGTCAATTTGCTTTACTGGAACATTCTGGTTGACACTGTTTTCGAGGTAATCTCTTTCGGTTTCGTTGAAAACGTCCGTCGTATCATCTTTACAACCAAATTCAAGCTAATGAGTCAAGAAAACTCACATAACCAAGCATCCCAAAAGGCGTTCTCATTCAAGATTGACTGCAGTTTCGACCTTGCCCACGTCTCATCAGTATCTACAGTGGCACTATAACTAGTATTAAGCTAGTGCAGCGTATAATCTTGACACTTTAACCACTACGCCATACTGTCACGAGTGCCCCTCTCTCACAGTGAAGTTCAAGCAAGCCAAGACATTTCCCCTTTGATTTTAACGTGGCCTGACGGGGTAGCGCAATCTTAGCTCGAGTCCTGGTGAAGGCTCTGATGAGACCTGGACGAGAATACTTTTTGGCAATTATGGCTATGCGAAATGCAATGGAAACTTACTCATATCATTGTGGGAAATTTCAATTGCCAATCCTTCATCTCCTTAATGTAATAGGTTTAACACATCTAATATATATGATCTAAGACCTAATTAGATATGAAAAATCATCATAAATACTATGGCAGGAGACGGAGGATTAGGTTGTTTCACAAGGTCTCCTTGTCGCCAAAACGACAGTATACAACACAAGTCTAAACATTATTTATTGTTTTTTTACTATACCAAAGTATTGTTGCTTACTCCAGTTATTTCTAAGGAGACACTTTCAATTATGGTACTGGGCATTTCGTGTGAGTCTATGGATACAACTGTGTCAATTGTAGCTCTGCGTCATCATCCATTTTCTCACTCATTCGGTGTCATCCACCGATGGGCTCGTCTCCCTATTTCTCGTCTACAGCATCTACTGAACCTTCAGTCGATGAGAGATGAGCCCGCTTCTGGGTTCCCCACTCTGCCGTCCGGCCACGTCTCTGCGGCTCAGGGCTGCCAGCTCATGCACCCATCGGCTCTTCTCTCCGGTGCTCTCGGCTTCTCTGGGCCCCGTCGTGACAGCCCCACACTGGGCCAAGCGGCACACACGTCCCAGCATCATCTTATGTCCACACTTCCTCTTGGCCCGTCCTTGGGCCCCGTGCCGACCAGCCTACATCTGCCCGTCTCCTTGCCACAACTGCCGCTGTCGCTGACCGGCAATCCACTCACGACCGGCGCTGCTTCGGCCTATCTGCCTTTCCAGTTACCGCTGCCTCTTCTGGCCGCCGGACTGTGCGCTCCCGGGCGCCTGGGCTCGACCGCAGACGCAGTCTGTAAGGCGACCGTCGACGGCGACTCGGCCGCATATTCGTGTCCCGGGCCGCCTCTGCCCTCGTGGGCA